CTCCCCTCCCCCTATAAACCCAACTGTATGTTGGGATGGATTTACTGGGGGGGGTACACCTCCCTAGCCCTGGCCAGGGGGGAGTGCTATTTTTCATGATAAAACAAAAAAATATTATAGAGACAAAATGAGATACAGTAATTTGAGTGATATCGATAACATGATAAGAAGCAAACTGTGAACAACAATTACAATTCAAATACAGTAGTCAAGCAAGACTTGACCTGTAAGTTGATGGGCGGGTGGCATGCATGACCAACATAACTCATCATTAGAGCTGGCAGATCACCCCCTCCCCCCTCCTACCAGATCATGCTGGATCCATCCCTGCCACCATGACTGTTAGTGTTGGTGCTAATTAAACAGTGCAATCTTGAACGGTCTGTGCCAGGCTAGATAGAGACGATAACAAAATAACTAGATATAACTTAGTACCTGAAAAATTCAAACAGAACTTCACTAGAAAAGTCAATAATTTGTACATTCCGCATGGATTTTCAAGCTCTGTGGATTATGGAATATAAACTAGGCTGTTATTACAATTTTCAAAATTGAAGTTGAAAGTGTCAAAAATTTCTTATCTTGGCCAATCTATTTTTTACATTTAAAGCATAATTCACTAAACATATAGATATATTAATTTAAACTATGTTTGAGAAAAATTCGTTTATAAAATCTTTTTTCAGATTAATCAGGTAAAGAGTAAGATACCTGGCATATCAAAATATAAGTTCTACCAACCAAAAAGAATAAAAAGATCAAAAAACAACAATAGAAATTATAGAATATAAACTCCATTTAAACTCCACTCCTTAGCTTGGCGCCATATTGAATTTCGCGGTCGCGCTGGTAAAGGCCTGGGGACTAGGTGCTCTACCGTATCTGAAATAGCCTTCACCGCTATGTCGCCGCCTTCAATTCGCGACTAGCCCTGGGTACGAGGTTGAACATTTTCTAGGAATGTCGTTCCCAGGATCACCAACTATTTCCAGGTCTGATTCAACTGCAAATCATTTCTCATAAAATGAACGTTAGTTTAAGCACAAGTATGTAGCTTAGAACGATAAGACTTATGATTACACTGTTGGCACCACATATATAGTTTGCATAAAGCAAAGCTGGTTATTTTGATCTCAAGAATATACATAATATATTTAACAATTATTGAATGAGGTTGAGCACGATATTATTATTAGAAAATTTGCACACATATAATAGCAATTGAAAGCTAAATTGTTATGTACATTACAAGAAATAAGATTATGTTAAGAGTATAAATATATTAAAATGTATAATAGGAGTATAAAATATATCTATAAAGGTATAAAGCTAAAACTACCCAAACAATGTTTCATTGTACTTGCTAACAGCATAGCTGATTGGGCTACTCTTAAAACGTTTTTTACCCATAATATTATAGTACATTTGATTGTTCAGCCTCGTTGTCCTCTTCCTGACTTCACAGATTTTCTTGGGTAATAAACTGTGTAATTTATGGTTAGGCTTCAACATTTCTTTGATTAATTCAATGCACATTCGATCGCGTCGTTTCTCCAAACTTTCTATTTTTGCTATACGTAAAACTTTATCGTAATCATCTTCCTTATAAATTCTTTTCAGCGCTCGTTTTTGGATTCGTTCAATTTCATTACTTTGGTCCTTTGTAATTCCGCCATTCCAGACCTGAACCCCATATTCGAGCATTGGTCTAATTACTGCGACGTAAAATCTTTTCATATCATCCGTACTTGCACCATACCATTTTATTATTTTCAAAAGAAATAGGCGCTTTGCAGCTTTTTTGATTATCTTCTCTGTGTTTGTATTCCACTTCAAATTGTCATCGATCCAGAGGCCCAGGACCTTATACGAATTAACCTTTTCAATTATCTTGTTCTCTATTTCAGTTAATGGTATCGCTGATATGAAGAATTATCAAGCCCGAAGTTTGCCGTTATCAACCGAAGCCGAAGGCTGAGGTTGATAACGGCAAACTGAGGGCTTGACAATTCTTCATATAAGCCCTTACGAAAATTTCCTATAGGAATTTTTCCTATAGGAATTCCTATAGGAAAAATGGCAATAGGAATTCCTATAGGAAATTTCAATTCCTATAGGAATTCCTATAGGAAATTTCAATTCCTATAGGAATTCCTATAGGAATTTTAATTCCTATAGGAATTCCTATAGGAAATTTTAATTCCTATAGGAATTCCTATA